TTGTTGTTGTACACGTGTCTGTATCTGTGTGTGTGTATATATATCTGTGGCTGTCGCCCTCTCTCTCTCTCTCTCTCGTGCGCGATGCTGCCGCGTCTGGCCACACCCACCATCTCCACCTACTGCATATTCCCAGGTCCTGCCGCAAGATCCATTATCCATCTGGCACATTCGATGGCTGCCTGGCCCAGGAGGGCGAAAAAAGTTGGTGCACAAAGAAAAAGTCGCCGCGCAAAAAAAAAAAGTTGCCACGGGATACCAAACCGCGCTCCACACGACCGAAACGGGAGGCGGGGGACGCGAGCACGAAGCAGCCGGCCAAGGCGGAGCAGCACGAGGCAGCAGGAAGCGGTCCATATGCGCGCGCTACGCAAACTGGCCTCGCTCCACTGAGCGGCGGACCGCGGCACGGAATTCCCTCGGCATCGAATTCCCTTGGGCTCGGTGGTACCGTCAAAATTCATCAACAGCAGCCCCAACCCCCGAAGGTCTTAGCGGCCCAGCTCGAAAAAGATAGCTGGCTAAGCTGGGCCGAGTACTGGTGGTTTGAGAACAAAGAAAGGGGAAAAAAAGTCCGTTTATCAACAATGCACGGCCGATGGGCTGGCTAAGTTATCGTTGCGTAGCCACATCGGCATGATGGGCTGGCTAAGTTATCGTTGCGTAGCTATCGCGTTGCAGCAGTCTTTTTCCGATGCGTCAGAAGGGTTTGAACATGCTTCTCACCGCTCAGTTTTTTCACACCATTCAGCGGAAAGCGTTAGCGCTGAAGAACCCGCCTCGTCAAGTTGGAGTCTCGCCTGGTGTGTCCTTGGAGCCGCCGTACTACTTTCGAACGACTCGGATGAGGGCCTCGCTCCACTACTCTCCCCATGCGCAAAAGACAAAAACAAAAAATATGGCGGTGTATATGTATATGTTTCCATGTTGTAGCGGAAGACTCGTTCCCAATTTGCACATTTGGTGAGTAGAGGAGCGAGGCCCTGAGAGTCCACTATCTACGGCTGCTTTTTCCAGAGGCTGAATTTTCCCACGAGATCGGTCAGACGGGCTGGGTTGGCGTTGGGTTCGCTCCGCACCCCTTTCCGCCGTTCCCTCTCCCTTCGCGCCCGCGCTGTTCTGCTGCTCGTCGCTTGCCGGGGGCTAGGTCCCACTTACACGAATTAAGCGATATTGACCGTAGATAGCAAAGATCAACGGCCAGAATCTCTTAATCCGTGCAAGTGGGACCTTGCCCCGGTTCTCGGCGTAATCCAGGCACTCGGAGTATCCAGCGATAGCAGACCTGCCTCATCACTTCACGTCATAGGACGTCGAATTTCGAACAGTACGTCGTAACGGCGGATGCGGAGGGAGTACGCCTCCCTACTCTTCTTGACTTGGATGGAATGTCGGGCGGTTTCCTACGTGTATCATGCATGTAATTAGCGGGGTACATGCATGCATACCATATCCCGAGTCCATACATGCATGTGTGCGTATGGGGGGTGATGGTTAATTAGCGGAAGGGCTAACGAACTGGAACCGTTAACGACGACGCCAGAGAGGTAGAAGAGCGGACACGTGACGTCGTCAGCAACGACGCTGCCGGACCCGTCAGGGAGTTGGCATCTCTCTCCTCAGCGTCGTTGCTGTCGAGGCCGTGGGGCTGAGCGATCACTCGATTGATAAGTGGAGTGGTCATAGAAGCGCGATCCCGAGGGGGGGGGGAGGGGGAGGGGGGGGAAGGGGGGGGGAGGGGAGGGAAGAGGAGGGGAGAGGGCGCTTTGCTTATGGGAGAGGAGACTGAAGGAGGCGGACTGGTGAAGGCCGAGGAGGCCGAGAAGGAAGGGTAGTAGTCGAGTCGGCGGCGCAGACGAAGTAGAGTCATTTTCACCATCTCTCCGTCCCGATCGGGACGAAGAGATGATCGGAGTCTTGGCGGCTCGGCAGCTGACGGGGGAGCAAAAGGCAGAGAAGGACAGGTGTAGGCGGCCATAGCCGATCTGGAAGGACGTTGGAGCTGCGCGCTCTGGGATGATGATAATCAGAACGTACTCTCGGCGAAATCGAGGTTCGAGGCACCTCAATAACAGCCTGAACGATGGGTTGACGGCGATCACGGGCGAGGATCCACGTGGCACAGGGGCATTGTCCCTCTCTCAGGAGTCATCATCGTACATGGAGGATGAAGATGGTGGGCGGTTAGGCGGCGGGGGAGGGGGTGGGGAAGGAAACGGCTCTCCTCTGCCGTTCTCTCTCTCCTCCCCGTCCTCCTGCTCCCCCCTCCCTGGCCTCGGATCCTCTCAAGAGTCGAGCAAGACCTTCCTTTCGGACGATTACCAATGTGGACGGCCGTTCAGAAGATGCTCAATGTGGAGCTCAAGCTCAACGATGACCCCTTCGACGGGAAGTGAAATGCAAAATGAAGGGGAGGAGGAGGATATGATGATAGGGAGGAGAGAGAATGAACACCAAGGGGCATCGATGATGCCGCCGCCGGCGCGACCGGTATCGCGAGGCCGACCGCCGGGGAAGACAGATTCGCGAAGCAAGAGGGCGGCGCCCGTCTGCGTGCCGAAGAGGAGGAAGGAGGGGGTGACGTCCGCGTCGGGGAAGGTGAGGAGAGTGCAAGGAGGAGGAGGGGGGGAGGAGAGGAAGGGGGGAGGAGGAGGAG